AGAGAGAGAGAGAGAGAGAGAGAGAGAGAGAGATTATAGAAATAGAGAGATAGATGATATAGACAGATATAGATATTTACAGTTTTTTCCCCCCTAAAATTCTGGTTTTTGTCTGTAATTATGGGATACCGAGTGTAGATTAATGAGGAAAAAACAATTGCATTTCAACCACTGTAGAATCAGGCCGCAGCATAACAAAATTTACCAAAGTGCCTAAGGAGCTCTGAATAGTTTCTGAAATGCACTCTGTGTGTGTGTGTGTGTGTGTGTGTGTGTGTGTGTGTGTAAATTGGAATTGACATCAAGGGAAAAGAGAGATCAAACAGGCCCCATCAAAAGCTATTCTGCATTCTTTGGTGTGTCATCCCCCCCATAACTTTTCCTGCCCTTCCCACCTGTTTTTCCTCCTCCGCATTCCTGAATTCCATCCCGCTAGATGCAAACTCACGTGTTATTCTGGGCGACTGCCTCCCTATTGTTGCACACACACACACACACACACACACACACACACACACACACACTCAGGATGCAGGGTGCAGAGTCAGGAAAATATGCAGTCTCTGTAGGGAAAAAATCAACAACAACTTGCCTTCAGAAGTTGTGGGTAACGGGAGGTTTTTAAAGAAGAGATTCAAGATTCAAGATTTAATTTATTTGTATGCCGCCCTTCTCCGGCTGACCGTCGGTTGCCATGTGTCCGAATTTTCACCAGGTGTGAAAAGGCCTGGTCAGAAGTGTGAAAAATGTCCACTAGCCACCTTTTTGGAATGCCGTTGTAACTTCGAACTTCACTTAAACAAACTTTTTTTTTGTTTTTGTTTTGGGGTGTGTTTATTTTATGGTGCGTTCTCTCCACGTTGCATCTACTGGTCTCTCCGAAGAAACTCCAGATTTCAAATCAAAGCAAGCTTTGAGGTTTGGAATTAATTTGCTAGGTCCGGAGAGAGAGGAGTTGAATGGATTGGCTAAATTTTGCTGGGAGGAAAAAAACTCGAGATCTGGCCATTTTGGGAGGGAGCGTCAACCTCCCTTTCCACAGTTCGATCTCGATTACATTATTAATTAACGAATCACTTAATTCCCTCCACAAATACACGCAGGCTTGTTCCAGGCTAGCTGTCCTGGGCTGCCACGCCTTTGCCAGGCTCAATTTGCAAGACTTTTCCATCCAACGGCTGTTATCTCTGCTCCTTTCTTTCCTGCTTCCTTGGAAACTTGGATTTATTTATCTTTTTAACAGGCATCGTTTCTCGCAATTCTTCTGGCCAGGAAAAGAAATCAAATCTCTTCCACCAATTTCCCAATTTCCATGCCCCCCCACCCCTCCAACAAAAATGTTTGCAATATATGCCGCCAGCTCTCTTGTTTCTTTACGAAGGCACCCAGCCGATAATCCGGAGTTGCCCCGGGTATTTATTTATAATGTCCGGACCAAATGTAATTTCTAATGTTGGATTTTCCTCCTTACCAGAGGGAGCCTCCTTGTGGAGTACTGTGAATCCGTTACCGTGGCAACTCCACTGTGCTGTACAGTAGAAGCCATTTTGCGGCAGTACAGTAGAGGCCGTTTGAAGGCACAACAGCATGTATTTTAACAGAACACCCCCCCCCCGAGGAGTATTAGGGGTATCTTACCGCCACAGTATTTGTTTCCAGAGAGTAAAGTCATCGGTGTACCAAGTTTGGTTGAAATTGCTCAAGGCATTCCAGAGTTATGCTGGAACATACATACATACACACACACACAGAGAGTGAGAGCCATTTTTATAGATATAGATTTATGGTCAAATATGATTCTCGGAGCAGGTGATAATATTTGAGGCACAGCAGTAGAGGAAGACTAGGCAAGGAGGGAAGAGGAAAAAGAAATCAGAAAAACAAAGGCAGAAACCCATCTCAAGATTGGGTGGTGGTGGTGTTTGTGTGTTTGTGTCTCTCTGTGTGTGTAATCCCAGCTGGTTGTGTTATTTAGGGAGAAGTATGATGCAAACAGCTTGACTAATTTGTGCGATGTGCCAAGGCTGAATTGTGCAACGGAGATTTCGCATCGGTGGCTGGGGCCTTAAAACTGCCGTTGTCTTGGAAGGCAAATATTTGTGGATTTTTTCAGCCGCTGGGTGGATCAACTCCCTGCACCTGTCAATCCAAATGAACCAGATGAGGTGCAGTCTCACCTCTGCATTACTTGGAGGCTGACATCACCTGGTGTAGCCCCCTTTTTTTTACCTGGGAGGACTGTACCACCGTGGGAACTGTGAGCCCCGGGGGAAAATCCTGGAGGCAGGAAGAAGCAATGGGAAAAAGGTTGGATATTTCTTTCCAGCACGAATGGGGCGTCGGAAAGGAAGCGAGGCCAAAAAAATAAAATAATGAAAAAATTGCAATCAAAGCTCAGGAATGTCCCGCCCTAACTGATTATTGCAATGGGGAGGGAGTTCCCACCCTGAGCAAAATATTCCACTCTTTTTCCCCACCTAGTTGTATAAACATGGATGAGTTTTTCAACCTCGGCAACTTGAAGATGGGAAGACTTCAACTCCCAGGATTCCCCTGCCAATGTGGCATTCTGGGAGTTGAAGTCTGCCCGTCTTCAAGTGGCCGAGGTTGAGAGACAGCTTTAAATAGGTTTAATTTGAATTTAACCTGCGGCAGGTTGGTGCCGCCTAAGAGGAGGAGGAAGAGGAAGAAGGAGGGGGAGGAGGAAGAGAAGGGAGAAAAAGGGGAGGAAGAGGAGGCGGAGGAGGAAGAGAAAGGAGAAAAGGGAGGAAGAGGAGGAGGGAGAGGAAGAGTGGAAGGAAAAGGAGGAGGAAGAGAAAAGGGGAGGAAGAGGGGGAGGAGGAAGATGGGAGGAAGAGGAAGAAGAAAGGAAGAGGAGGGGGAGGAAGAGGAGGAAAGGAAGGAAGAGAAGGAAGTGGGAGAAGAGGAGGAGGAAGTGGGAGAAAAAGAGGAGGAAGGAGGATGGGGAGGAGGAAGAGGGAGGAGGAGGAAGAAAGTAAGGAAGAGGAGGGGGAGGAAGAAGGAGAAGGAAGAGGAAGTGGGAGAAGAAGAGAGGGAGGAAGGAGGAGGGGAAGAGGAGGTACTACAAAGCACCTGATTTTTGCAAATGCCAACTCTCGGTGACACGGCCATTATTCACCGCTGGTGACAAATAGCCGAAACGGAATTCTTTGCAGGTCCAGTTATGTATCTGGGTGTGTTTTGCCCCGAGTTCAAAATGTAACTTTGTGAGGACATAAACGATGTGTGTACTGCCCTCTAGTGGTTCAACCTGGTATAGCCCGTTTAGGAAGGCCCGCGTTAAACTTTTGAACGGCGGGTTTTTGCAAAGTGAAGCTGCCAGAAGAACAGAAGAAATTGTTTCAGAGTCGGGGTTCAGATGTCCTGAGTGGTTCCTTTTCGACCTAGGCTAACTTTCCCTATCCTGCAAATACGTAACCCCGTTTGACCAGCGCAGCTCTCTGCTCCTTCGTGCACGGACAAACCAGAAACCTGCTTTTTATTCATTCTCGATTTTATTCAAATTTTTAACAAGGAAAACAAAAAGTAAAGGAAGTTTGCACACATCCTTCCCTGATTTTTGGAATGCTTTGGATGACAAGATTTGAAATCGCCCGGATGCCTTCAGTGTCTTTTGGGGGGGGCGGGCGCAGATGCCATGTGTTCATGGCAGGCCTGCGCCAGGCCCCCGATGAGGTTCAAGAACTCGGAAAAGTCCAGTTGCCCGTCGTTGTTCATGTCCAGCTTTTTCATCATACGGTCGACGACGCCTGGATCTTTCTGGTTCTGCAAAGAATTAAAAAAAAAAAGATCATAGGAGATCAGCTGGGCCTTTTTTTGGACCTGTCAAAATGAATTCCTTGAGGGACAGGGAGACCAAAATCTCATAAGATCTTAGTAAGACCTGGAATCCTGCGTCCAGTTTTGGTCACCACGTTACCAAAAACGAGGTAGAGACTTTGGAAAAAGGGCAGAGTGACTAAGATGATTAAAAGCCTGGAGACTAAATCAGAGGTGAAATTCAGCAGGTTCTGACCAGTTCTGGAGAACCGGTAGCGGAAATTTTGAGTAGTTCAGAGAACCGGCAAATACCACCTCTGGCTGGCCGCGCCCCTTCTATTCTCTGCCTCCCGAGTCCCAGCTGATTAGAAGGAAATGGAGATTTTACAGTACCCTTCTCACAAAGCCTCCCCCCCCAAGCCACACCCACAGAACCAGTAGTTAAATTTTTTTGAATCCCACCACTGAACTAAATCATATGAAGAACAGCTGCAGGAATTGG